GAGGCAGATAGATGCTCTCATGCTGATACCTGATAAAGAGGAGTGGGCTTGTTCTGGAAACAAATGATCCCCGGCAGTCTCATTTGATAACACTGGAATGTCTCAGTGTGTGTGTGTGTGTGTTGCATACTGGGGAATGCTGAGTGGCTTCTGCCTGCACACTATTTATAAGAGCAATGTAAAACATGACATGCTAAGCAGAGGGAATGAAGACGCCATCAGGATGAAGGATGCTGAAACAGAGCACAAAACTGAATGCAAAGGCACGGAATAACTTCAGCAGGAGTGGTGCATTATTTATGTGGCACACACCCTCAGATATCACTTACATGACTCGAACACAAGCCCAAAGGTTGGATTGGTTTTCAGTACCGCTCTGCACTGTGATTCTTTGACTGACCACGATGCAGTGATCCACGGTGCAGCAGTGCAGCTGCTTCCCTGTGAAATGCAGCCCCTGGGCTTTGCATACAATTTGGCTGCTAATGTTGCGTCTCAGGTTACGCCTCTTTCTTTCCAGTGACACACGCCTGCACAGAGAGTCAACTCTTTCCAGCTGCAGTGGCAGCTCTTCTGTGTAAGCCATCAAAATAAGTATAATTTATCAAAATAGATGTAATAAAAGGCTCCATCAGCATCCATCCTTGTCATAGCTGTGAAAAATACAGATTGGAAGCTATGGGATTTTTTTTTAAGTCCAGTACCTCTCACACTGCTCAGAGTCAGCACTTCATTCAGATATTTGACATTTTCAAATCTGACTCGTGTCAAATATGATTTAAATGTGACCCACGAGTACTGCTCCGACAGCAACGTGGACCCCCTCGATTAATAAACGTCTCTCTTGTCGGTGTCTCTGCAGACGGGAAGGTGTACGCGATGCGCCAACACGATGCCTCAGGCCCTGGTCAGAGTGTACGAGGCCGAGAAGGACCAGTGGCAGCCGACGGCCTCCATGCCGACGCCGCGGTATGGAGCCACGCCCTTCGTCAGAGGAAACAAGATCTACATCATGGGTAGGACATCCAGCTTTTCCATCGTGCATTATGACTGCTAAACGTGTTCAGTCAGTGTGCTAGCGTCCATTAGCATTTAGGTTAAAGATTCTTTAAAGACAGAGAAACACACAACTTCATGCATTGTTCATGTAATTCCTCCATTCGCCTGTATTGCAGTAGATATTTATTGTTTTGTTTTTAGCCTTTATTCTGGTCTGGCCTGCTGGGGATTGACCCGGCATTTGGGTTTTCAAATCTGACTCGTGTCAAACATGATCTAAATGTGACCCACGAGTATTGCTCCGACAGCGACGAGGCGTTGCTGCAAAATGCACAGCTATGAAATGTCTCTACATGCTAACAGTGTTTTCTTCATGTGTGTGAAACGCCTCGTGTGTGGCAAAAGAAAAAAGTTCAAACAAAGTGATGCACCAGATGCTTCATTATCGAGTAAATCCGCTCGGAGAGAATAAAGGTCTTTCTTTTCTTATCTGCTGCTTCGTCTGCCTACACTTTGATTCACAAAAGATCCAATGAAATGTCTCTTTTCAGTCCAATACTTGTTAAAGCTTGTTTACTTTGTGCAGCTTTTGTGTTGAAATATTTGTGGGAGGAGGACTGTCAAGACATAGCTGGAGGGGGGTGGGGTGTGGTGGGGGATGTTCTGGTAAGTTACACAGAATGAGTGATAATTATAACACAATCATAGTGTTCTGTGTCAACACACAAAGACTGAGTGTGGGATTTTTTCCCCTCCGATATAACAAAAAACACACACCGCCATGTCCCACCATCACCATGATAATAATCAGAAAGTAGAACTGCCCATTTTTTGACAAGGTCTTCAAAAAGTGGACGTATAGAAGCTTCATAAAAGAACAAGTTATGGTGAAGTTCTTGTTTTGGTTTGCAATGCATTTCACTGACAAACAAACAAGCTGGTGGGTTTAAGTATCACACAGAGATT